AATACTATGAAGTATTCCTCCTGATTTTTGACGCCTTTACATGCTCAGACATAGTTTTTAGAAAACAGATGCTTCCTTTTACTCGTTTTATAGCAAGTTGCATCTTCTTCAAATTTCTCACTCGTGAGTGGATATACTTTGTTTTTTAAGAATGTGCGCGATTATCCGATTTTTAGGATCATGAATCGCTTATGCGTACTGCATCGTATCTTTCCTTTCAGTTATGCTGCTTAGGAAGTATACAACGTGGTGCCTATTCATTGCACAATTTTACGAGCCCTATATGTGATCACCTTGACAGTGTGGAGAAACTCATAATGTTCCTTACACTAAAAGCAGACAGCATGTAGTTTGGAAACCCTAAGTGCAAGTGTAACTGTGGATCGGGCTCGAAATTATTCGAGAACAACGACGTTTTCAATACCTAAGGATACGTTTCTTCAGGTGTAAAAGTTGAAAAAACATTATGCGCTACCAAATGAGTATAAGAAGGCATATTTTTGTGCATGACTTAGAATATCTTTTGATTTATATGGTCATCGAAAATCAGTGAGAAAATATCAAAGAACCTAACCAGTAATTTTTTATCAAGTGCGACTTTCGCCTGCGGCTGTAAGGGGGCTCATTCGAAAGCTGTCATCCTGCTGTAACTGAAAGTTAGTAGGATTATATTGCAGATTTATCACTTTTACAAATCCATCTTGGGACTCCGTCCTAATGGAAGACACATTTTAGAATTTCGGCTAACATTTCGTGAGAAAGTCAACGTGTGACTGAACGCTATGCGCCCTAGTTAATGTTTTGTCGGTGTATTAGCAGGAAGTCCGAAGAACGAGCCTTTTCTGTCCATTCGTTAAAACAAATAGACTTTTCAGTACTTTGAACATAAGAATGTGATTTTTACACTAGATGAAGAATCATGTTCTTCTTTCACCCATATTGCAGTGCGCTTACCGATATAAACGAATAAAGCGTTAACTTACTGCAGCTTTGTGTTTTGGAAGTCATTAGCATTATTGTGGGCGCGTTTTAGACATTCTTTGATACTTACCTAAATTTGATGTTCAGTTCAATTTTAATGCGAAATATCCTGTATTATTTAAAATTTCCAGAGCCTGCTATCCCATAACACTGCATCTTCGTCCGATATTTTGATGATACTGCATTTAAGATTCACATGTATCAGGATGTGAATGAGTGAGCAGCATTTGCAAGAGTAATTCCACTAGAACCGATAGCGAAGCGAAAACACTCAAAAGGTAGGGCCTTCGAAACTTTAAAGAAGTCGATATTTGTAGTTAAACTGCTGTTACAGTAGCCGCAGAAGTGTCATAACTCGTGAGTAGGATTCTACGCATTTCGTTTTAGAGATACAGAACTTGTGCTCCTTTAAATTACCATCAATAATACCACCAGTTCTAGCAAAAAATATCTTCACTTTTGACTTACGGCCTTCTTTTTCTGCATGGTAATCGTCAGCCGTTTTCGGAATCGGACGAAGATTGCAAGCGTATGCCAGCTGGTCGTTGCAGTTACGTGCTTGCCACCTGCCAAGCCAGAGATCCAGTGCCAAGCAATACTCCCTGTTTGGTGTGAGTCGAGATATATCTTCTGTCGACAGCCCAAGAATTTCCATCGATCCGCTGCTTCCATCTGTCCAAGTCAGGTCCACTTGAGGTAGATTTAGCCACTGGGTTAATCTACTGGAAGGTCTTCGAATCAACTTTGCGCCTGTCCAATAGACACCCTGCTTTAGTTTACCTAAGGCTTTGATCAGAGAAGCGAGCTGAAAAAGTAAAGGAAATTATGGCCAGACTGGTTCGAATCTGAACTAGTGGAGTTTGCTGTCTGAAAACCAATTATCTTATTTTTTTACTGAAGCAATGTTTTCCCGGAATAAATTTGAACAAGGCAAAGGCGGCAAAGCAAGCAGAATTTTTTTTACCGAAACTCTGAGAAAGATGACTATGAAATTAATTCACTAGCCTTGATAAGAGCATCTCCAGAGAATCTCATTAGTTTCCGCCGCAGGGACTTTGTACTGAATGAAACGTTTAAAAAATTATACACCCTTGAATAAGGTCAAGCTAGTCAAAAATAAGGTTCTGGTGACGTGATAGGAATTCATGAACTGTTACTTTGCATTCGGAGAAACGAGG